GAAAAATGTCCAAATTTTCAATCTACAGCTATGTATAGACGAGTGAGGAAATTATTGACACTATCCTTGGGCCATAAACTGATAGTCAGTCAGTTATGTGTCATGCGGGATTCACTGTTAGGCGATCATGTATCTTTCGATATTTGACTGACGAGGCAGATTTTTCGCGCAGTAGGTTGCCGTTTCTTTCTTCGTTAGACCAGTTGCTATCCAAAGCCTGCTCTGTTCTGCTGTTTACTCATATCTGGAAGAGGAAAAGAGGATCACACTTTTCCCAAGGGTATTAGCACGTAAGTGAATATAATGGATTCGACTGGAATTCAAACTCAGCTCTCCGATTCCTCAATCCGAGCCACTATTCATTAATCCTTTAATTTATACACAAACCAATATCATAGATACATGGGTAAATGTACTTGTTATCTTTGGGCAGCCATCTTTATTTGTTTCTGTGAAACAGTGCCAAAGCTTTCAGAAAGCCAGCCAGAATACATTGATGGTTGAATAGTGAGGTTATGAATTTATATAAATAAAAGATTTCGTCAGAAAATACAATACTAGGGAAAAATAAAACATCAGATGATGGGACAGACGTTTTAGCTGAAAGTGGGCGCACGATCATTAAAAAAAAAAAAAAATTCGATGACTGAGTAGTGATGCTATGAATTTATTTAAATAAACCATTGCACCGAGAAAAAAAAATAATGCTACGGTTTTCATCAGCGTAATGCGTAAAAAGAATGAACGATTTCATTAAGTGAGCTATGCTATCTAGCGCATGCGGTTTGTCGGAGTTAACTCCTCCTTCAGTCCGTTAACCCTTTCACCAGGGGTCTCTCTTCCCTGGCTATAAATAGCCGCTGACTCTTCGCCTCTATCTCTTTTTCTTTCAGGCCGGTGCACTGACACCTTGAGGTAATTTCTCTTTTTCCTTCAGGATTTCAGCTATCAACCTCGAAATGTAGTCGCTAACAAGGGATAGCGTGGAAACACGCTAAGCACAATACACACACACGCACGCACATACAGAATATTCACACACGCACATACAGAATATTCACACACACTTCATCCTTTGTACTGTTTCCATGTATTGTAACTTGTTATTAATATATATTTGTATATACATATATTATCGGTCTTGTGTTTTGTTTGCTTTCTTTGCCTTCTTCTTTGGACTTAATCAAAGTCCAACCTTTTTATGTAGTTGGGCTCGGCGGGCAGGAGTATTTGAACCTTACTTGCGTTTATTCTACGTCTGACTTCTATCAACAACATAACAGCCACGCCATGAACCCTCAACAAGTGGCAACCGCCATTCCCACTACAAGTGGTAACCGCCACGGCCCACTACATGTTTCTTTAATAATAACTTATTGACAACTGGAAATGCTCGTGAAAGCAGATTTGTTTAGAAATATATCCCATAATGCATTTCGCCATTTTAGTCTTCATCAGATCCGAAAGCGAAAACGAAAGAAAAGCCTCTACAGGAATCTCTCAATTAGTGCAGATAATTTGTACATAGGTAACTAATACAAAGTCAATGTATCAATTACTATGGTTAAACTGAAGAATATTTTACCGCACTAATCGAGTATTATGTACGCACTAATCCAATTTTGGTATATAAACAGTTTAGCGCACCAATCGAGTAGTATGTACGCACTAATCCAATTTTGGTATATAAAAAGTTTAGCGCACTAATCGAGTAGTATGTACGCACTAATCCAATTTTGGTATATAAAAAGTTTAGCGCACTAATCGAGTAGTATGTACGCACTAATCCAATTTTGGTATATAAAAAGTTTAGCGCACTAATCGAGTAGTATGTACACACTAATCCAATTTTGGTATATAAAAGTTTAGCGCACTAATCGAGTAGTATGTAGCACTAATCCAATTTTGGTATATAAAAGTTTAGCGCACTAATCGAGTAGTATGTACGCACTAATCAATTTTGGTATATAAACAGTTTAGCGCACTAATCGAGTAGTATGTACGCACTAATCCAATTTTGGTATATAAACAGTTTAGCGCACTAATCGAGTAGTATGTACACACTAATCCAATTTTTGTATATAAAAAGTTTAGCGCACTAATCGAGTAGTATGTAGCACTAATCCAATTTTGGTATATAAAAAGTTTAGCGCACTAATCGAGTAGTATGTACACACTAATCCAATTTTTGTATATAAAAAGTTTAGCGCACTAATCGAGTAGTATGTAGCACTAATCCAATTTTGGTATATAAAAAGTTTAGCGCACTAATCGAGTAGTATGTACGCACTAATCCAATTTTGGTATATAAACAGTTTAGCGCACTAATCGAGTAGTATGTACGCACTAATCCAATTTTGGTATATAAAAAGTTTAGCGCACTAATCGAGTAGTATGTACGCACTAATCCAATTTTGGTATATAAAGAGTTTAGCGCAATAATCGATTAGTATGTACGCACTAATCCAATTTTGGTATATAAAAAGTTTAGTGCACTAATCGAGTAGTATGTACGCACTAATCCAATTTTGGTATATAAACAGTTGAGCGCACTAATCGAGTATTATGTACGCACTAATCCAACTTTGGTATATGAAAAGTTTAGCGCACTAATGCGCATTAATCGAGGCAAGCTTGAATGTGTATTTGTGTGTATGTTTTATGGTTTGGCTTGTTTTATTTTGTTTTACGGCATATCAACCTCTATGGGTTATTTAATGCCGATAAGAATTTTAGGATAGGTTTGAATGAATAGAATATGTATTCTTTGATTTAGTTTGGTTTGCTTTGTTTTCCGGCATATCAACCTCTGTGGGATATTTAGTGCCGACAAAATTGTTTATTGCTGGTAATATTTTTGTTTTCCAAAAATATATTGATGGTAATATATATATATATATATATATATATATATATATATATATGTATGTATTTTTAAATGTATTGCTGACAATAATTTTTTCCTTCAAAAATTCATTGCTGGTAATAACCTTTTACAAAAATGTATTGCTGGTATTAAAAGCTATTTTTACACTTTCATAGTGTTCTGACCCCACTTTGAAGGGCCAACTATTTGCCCATAGGTGAGACCGTAACAAGTGCTACCACTTCGGATCAGAGTAGATCTGGGAACAGAAGCAATTAAGAGGTGGTTTCCCGTTCCTCAAAACCTCCCGATCAGAGGGCTTGATGCCAGATGTAGTTTATCGTCATACCCAGGACGGATATGTTTTATGAAATCTTAATACTTTTTACTTAACCTGGCGTTTCTCGTGACTAAAAAAGAAAGAAAATAATTGAATTATCGGATACATGACGCGTTCGACGGAGGAGAGGGCGTATTCAACAAAAAATCGAAAATTGCTATTTTCATTGCAAATTATTCATTATATCAGATCCAAGTATTTTACAAAAACATTAGAGCCGATTACACAATATTTCAAGCTCAATTTATGTTTATAGTTTGTAACCATGCAATGAGATAAGGTAACATAAACCGTAGATTTGTCTGCGGAATATCGTTACATTGAATTGTTAAATAATTATAGTGAAATCATTAAGGCTTTTTTTTTTTAATCAAAAGCATTTTTGGTCGTATATTAATTTAAAATATTCTCTTTTACAGGTTTTATTTTTGAAATAGAATAAGATCATTCTAATTATCAGAATTTCACTATTGACCACCAAAATGACTGGCAGAAAGCGATTTAAAATCAACAATGGAAAAGAGAGGTAACAAAGCGTAAATGAAATAGCTCCAATTTGTTGAACTCAGGAAACTTAGCATTGCAACCAAAGTATTCTAAAATGCTGCCAATAACAAAGGAGAAAATGAAAAATACCTTTTTTTAAGCGTTTTACCCCAAGTAAGGCGGGAAGCCACTAGCACGCAAGGGGTTTACAGAGAGTTGGAGCTAGAGCAAATAGGAATGATAGAGGAAAGGATGAAGAGAAGCATAGGGGATAGGCATCTGGAGACGTCGATTGACATTACATTTGAATAGTTGGCGATTATAGCTATCAGGGAAACAGGAAAAGGGAGGGAGTTCCACAGGCGAGAGGTGCGAGACATGAAGCTATTGGAGTAGAAGAGATAGCTAACAATTTCGACAGTGAAAGGGTGTGAGCGAGATGCCAGCCTAGTAGAACGGTTAAATTCATGAAGTCTGGGAATCTAACAACAAATCAAATATAGCATCAAAATTTTTATTATTTTTATTTATTTGTTATGTAACTAAATACATAATGTTTCCGTAAAACTTGATATTTCCTGTAATAAATTCTTAATGAATATTATTATTGTTATTATTTTACTCTAGTGTAAGATAGTCCTACATTTACAATTCCTTACGGCTAACCATGAAAAGAAACGTCGACCCAACCTGCCTTTAAGCGCGTATTGCCGCAAACTGATCAAATGTTGAATACACCCCTCCTCCGCTGATCGCGTAATATTTATAAACAAATCTACTTTCATGAACGTTTCCAATTATCAAAAATTAAAAAAAAATTTTTCAGGATTACATATCCTATTTTTAAAACATATTAACTTATTAAACTGTATTTACGTGTACACGGTTAAAGAAAAGTAAAGGAAACATTCAAATGTTTAATCGTAGTGTGTAATGTGCGTCACATTGAGAGTTTGAAAATTAGATAGACGGCTTTCAGGCGACTAAGTCTCTCCCAGAGAGGAAAACTAGATATGCCTTCTATCTACCACATCCTGTTTCTGATTGAGTAAAAAGAGGAAGGGGTCCTTTCCTTTTGTAATTCTGAATAGAACGACACCTTACGAACGTGCTGGCAGATATGGTGGGTTAATGTCCACAAAATCACTATGAACTGTAAAGTAGTAAGTGCTGGAAAATTTCCCCACAGATGAAGAAAAGACACGGAGTAACAGAAATGTGGTTCTATTGACGAATGCTAAGAATACCATGGACAAAATATGTGAGAAATAAGGAAGTCTTAAAGAAAATACAAACTACAAAGATGGC